ATAGATAGATAGATAGATAGATAGATAGATAGATAGATAGATAGATATCCATGAATAAATACATACATACATATACAAAGACACACACACACATACAGTATATTAATATGATCTACCAAATATGTGCATATAAAGATCATAGTAAAATAACTGAATAGTCACAACATTTCCCCATATCAGATTTATTTCCATCTCATACCCTTATTGATGGATTATATAGCTCTCTCTATTTTTTTAATTAAATACCCTATCTCCTCATGCAATTCTCTGCCAACCTGATCATATACTTAACAACCAACCAACCAGTGGAACAGAAGTTGCCTTCAGAAGTTGTGGGAGCTTCATCACTGGAAGAGACTGGACTGCCATCTGTCAGAAATGGTGTAAGCTCCCCTGCTTGGGCAGGGGTGAACTAGATGACCTACAAGGTCCCTTCCAACTCTTGTTAATCTGTTAAAACTGTTTTGTCTTCACCCATTTCAATGTTTCCACCCCCTCTCTCCCCCCACTGCCAGCCCCCAATATTGGTACATGGATCCAGAGTGAGGGAGAACCAAAAAGAAAACCCAACAAATTATCCACCTCCTCCATGATCTACAATCATTTGCAGAGCTGGAATAGAAAGAAAATCGACAAGTCCAACTTTACTGTTCAAAACAAGTAACATTAATTAAGAAAGGGGAGAAAAGAGTGATTAAAAAAAGATAAAAGTTTCCCCTGACAAGTTGTGTCCAACTCTAGGGATCGATGCTCATCTGTTTCTTGGCCGAGGGACCAGCATTGTCCGAAGACTTTTGAGGTGCCTCGAATGCTGTTAGCTTCCCACCAAAGTACTACCTATTTATCTACTTGCATTTGCATGCTTTCAAACTGCTAGGTTGGCAGGAGCTGGAGCCAGGATGGGAGCCCACCCTGTTCTATGGAGCTCAGATCTCAAACCTCAAACCTTCCAGTCAATAAGCCCAGCATCTTAAAGTGCTAGGTCACCATGTCCCTTAAAAGAATGATGAGTGATGCCAAATTGAATCTCAAAGGTGTCTTTTTTTCTCCCAAAGGCAACTGGATCTCCACTACCATCCAAACTGAAGTTCTAAAAAGTGACAAAGATAAGTCATGGTTTACATGTATGCAAAAAGCTGTACATTCCCTTTCTGGCATTCAAAAACACAACATTCACATGCAAATAATTCCTTCCTTGAAGCCAGCAGAATTTCTGACAGTTAATGCCCACTAGGACAACCATTTTGTGAAGGGAAAATCTTCCATAGCTTTGGGTGACAGTGCCTAAATGTACTCTTCAAACTCTAAATGTGCCACTAACTCTGAATGCTTAGAAGGTTCCCGACTTCATTTATGAGGGGTGCAGATGCATTCCAAACATGCATAAAACAAATGGAATTCACCCTCGTGCAAGAGCAACATTTTCAACAGAGCGAAGGCTGAAAAATCCATCTGTATTTTCTATTCTGTTTCCCCAGGGGGGGGGGGTCTCCCATGGCCACAAACCACAATCTAACATTGCACAACACGTCGCCCAAGCTGTAAATGCTTAAGCAGGGCTTGCTGGAATCCACTGTTACAGAACAAAGATCATTTAGAAAAACACATATACCATTCATTGGTGGATCTCAGCGGGAGGGAGAAAATGTACAGATTGTTTCCACTGGGTTTTATTATAAGGTATTATGTGCTCGCTAGCATATTAATTTTCCCAGTGAGCAATGCTCTCAAAATGCCAGGGCTTGCTGTAGCGCACAGGTGAATTGAAAAAGAGAATTGGAATAATAATTATATAATTTTAAAAAATAGAAACTAAACCCATGGGAATTGTCAAGAGGAAGGGGAAAAAAAAACCAGAACTGTTGAATCATTGAACTGATTTTGAATTGTGACCAAAATATCAACTTGTACTTCCCTGGTCAGATTTTACTGGCATTGATAGATGATGAATTGCAAGTTTATGGCCACTACAGGGCACTAATGTCCTGTATCCAGGGTTTTTGTGTTTGCATTCTTCTGCTGCTGAAATCTGCAGTCGCCCACATGCCTCCTAGCAAGAGTGCCGGCCAGATTTAAGCTCAAGATAAATTTGCAATTAATTCGGAGGTTTTATTCCAGGTAATTTTTAAAGGCAGCCAAATGAGTTTTCTCTACAAACAGCAGGTTAGCAGTGGTTTTGGACTAATAATGACACAATATTCTCTGCTATCTGACGGGCATCTTCTAATTTGCTTCTGCAATTGTGTCCTCTTCGCTGACAATGTAAAGCTATTCAACACCACAGACAATACTGCTACCCTTCAAAAAGACCTCGACGATGTATCAGAATGGTCAAACAAATGGCAACTTCAAATCTCAACAAACAAATGCTCTGTCTTACATATTGGCAAAAAAAATCAGAAAATAAAATACAGGCTGAATAGTCAAGACCTTGTTGATGATCCAAACTCTGTCAAGGACCTTGGAGTACTCATCTCAAATGATCTAAGTGCTAGAGCCCACTGTAACTACATAGCCAAAAAGGCATTAAGAGTTGTTAACCTAATCCTACACAGCCTTTTCTCTGGTAATATCACACTACTAACTAGAGCATACAAAACATTTGCTAGACCAATACTCGAATACAGCTCATCAGTCTGGAACCCACATTATGTATCTGATATTAACACAGTTGACAAAGTCCAGAAATATTTCTCAAGAAGAGTTCTCCACTCCTCTATTCATTGCAGAATACCTTATGCCACCAGACTTGAAATTCTAGACCTAGAAAACCTAGAACTACACCGCCTTTGGTCCGATCTAAGTATACTATATATAAAATCATACATTACAATGTCCTACCTGTCAATGAATACCTCAGCTTCAACCATAACAACACAAGAGCAAACAATAGATACAAACTCAAGGTTAATTGCACCAAACTTGAGTGCAGGAAATACGACTTCAGCAACAGAGTGATCAATGTCTGGAATACTCTACCTGACGCTGTGGTTTCTTCCCCAAACCCCAAAAACTTTAACCTTAGACTGTCTACTATTGACCTCACCCCTTTCCTAAGAGGTCTGTAGGTGGCATGCATAAGCGCACCATCCCTGTCCTATTGTTTCTTTTATTTTTCTTATATGTATCCATGTATTCATAACTATGTTTTTACTTATATCTATTATCTTGTAAGCAATTGAAAAACCAAATAAAATAAAATAAATAAAATAAATAAATCTGTGTCTATTTATTTATTTAGAGTATGGCATATTACCCACAGATACATCGTGCAGCAACTTTGTTTAAAAGGAAGCAGAATGTAAGCCTTTAAAGTGTTTGTTTCATCACAGAAGGCAGGGAGACAATGTAAGAAGTATATATTTCAACACATTGTTTTAAAGAGATTCAAATCTGAGCCTACCTATTCAGAAATTTGAGTATGCTGATAGGGTTGGGGCAGTGGTGGTATTCAAAAAAATGTACTACTGGTTCTGTGGGCATGGCTTGGTGGGCATGGTGTGGTGGATGTGGCAGGGGAAGGATACTGCAAAATCCCCACTCCCTCCTCACACCACTAACCTGCTTTCCAGCTCTGTTCTCCTGTGCAGGGCAACAAAAGAAGACCCAGCCGATCAGCTGGGACTCAATGGGAGGCAGAGAATAGATGGGGGCAGGGCCAGGGCCAGTCAGAGTTGGTATTTGCCGTGTTGCGTTGGCAGACGGACACACCAGGCAGACACGGAACTGAAGAATAACGTTGCTTTTATTTGAAGAGTAACAGGTTATCGTGGCTGCCCAGCTGGGCTGGTAGCCAGCTGGCTGGAGCGGCTGATGCCATTTGACAGCTCCTTTTATAGTCTGCTGTCAAACGGCACCAACCAATGGGAACAGTCGGTGCTCCCGCTCAGAATGCGGACCAGATTGAAGACTTAGTTAGTCAGGGACACCACACCCCTTTCCCCTAGCTAAGTGCATGCGCGGCCCTGCCTCCTGGGGATCCATGGTACAGAAGAGGAAGTTGAACTAGTAGCTGCTTTGCGCACCTCCCCCATCTTGGCTTCTAGGAACAGAACCCGACCTGTCACAAGGTAGGAGCACCCGGCCTGGGAAGGAGACCCTGACAAGCTTGGTGAGTAACCATGCCTTGGTGACCTCCAGCATGTGGTGGAGTAGGGGTCCCCGAACCCTAAGGGCTGTGGGTCAGTACTGACAGTCGCCTGTTTGGAACCAAGCTGCAGAGATGGCAGGCAAGTTCCATTTGGGCGAGCAGCGTGCGAGTTTAGCTGTGGCTTGCGTGAAGGGAGATGAGCCAAATGTGGGGGACCGCTGAGCTAGGGGGTTGACTACGAAGGTCAAGGCCTAAGGGCCGAAAGAGGAGCGGCACGTCGTGCTCCCTTGGTCCCCTTAGGACGGGAAGATCAAGGCCTAAGGGCCGAAAGAGGAGCAGGCATGTCGTGCTCCCTCGGCCCCCTTAGGGCAGTGACAATCCAACCTCCCACCTACCTAGCTTTTGCCCCCCTGGGGACATATTGCCACTGCCAAGGAATGCAAGCCCAGGTGGCAGGACCCTAATGGTGGGTGCGCGTTTCCTTATTCAGCACCTGACACCCACCACCCCCTAAATACAGGACCCCTTCCCCCAGAGTCACTTGGAAGGGGGGCAGAGAGACCCCTTCCCCCAGAGTCACTTGGAAAGGGGGGGCAGAGAGACAATTTGTCAGCGGCTGTGAGGCACGTAGACACCACGCCCAACTCCAGAGCTAGAAGCTCTTGAACTCGCAGGGCAAACTCTTCCTGGGTCTCCTCGGCTTCTCTGTACACATAGGGAAGCCACTTTACTTGATAAACGGTGAAAGGAACGAAAAAAGTCCAAAGCAGCTCAGTGAACCAGGAAGCGCCAGCCACGCTCATAGCCACGAAGGGCCTCCAGACCTGCAGAGCCAATGGCTGCACCGCGTCCATGATGGAGAAGGGCCAGGAGCTGAAACGCAGCAGGCCCACCCGGCCGTTGGTGGTCTCCTCCTCGGGGAAGAGCAGCAGCGGCGGATTGCCGCCCTGCAAGCAGTAGCCCTTCAGCGACTCCAGCAGCTCCGCGCGGCTCTCGGCGCCGGCCACCTCCAGGAAGAAGCGGGACCAGCAGAGGAAGCCGGTGGCGCCGTTCAGCATGGGCGCGCTGCAGGAGGCCAGCAGGCCCAGGACGTTGTGGTCGAAGGGCGTGACGTGGTTGGCCCACCAGGATGCGGGCGCTGCGCGGCCCTCTGCCACACGAAGAGGCCCCAGCACGGAGCACATGGCATGCACCAGGAACCTGCACGGGGCGCCGTCCGGGAGCGCACAGCTGACCAGGAAGATGTGCAGCCCCACAAAGAGCCGCACCAGCAGCAGGCACAGCCCCACCGGCACATAGAGCAGCAGCGCCAGCAGCACCGGCAGCGGCCCATCGCTCGGCAGCCGGTGGGAGTCGAAGAGGTAGGTGGGAGTCGAAGAGGCGCTCGGGGCCGCCGCCGGCGGCAGCAGCGGCGGCGGCGGCCGTGACGGGAGGCGGCTCCATACCTGCCGGGGGCGCCTCGCCCGCCTTCATGGGTGAGCCGCAGGCACGGCAGCCATCTTAGGCGCCTGGAGGGCAACGTCTGTTCCTCGGCTAGGGAGGCTTTAGACTTTTGCGCTCTTGGCAGCGCCAACGGGGGTGCCTTTCAGGCATCGTCTGTCCCCTCAGTCAGGGAGGCTAGGGTGCCATTAAACTTCGCGCTCTCTGAAACGCAGGCAGTGGTGCCTTTCTCCTCAGTCAGGGAGACTTTGAGTTTTGCGCCCTAAAAAGGGTGCATGCAGCAGTGCCTGTTAGGCAGTGACTGTCTCCTCAGCTGAGGAAGCCTTTTAAATTTGGCGCGCGCAGAGATTGTCTGCGGCTCCTGACATTCAGTGGCTTCGGCTCTTTCTTCAGTGACTTAGCTCAGCTGTCTTGCCTGGGCGTCTCTGCTGTAATCCCACCTTCATCGCCAGTGTTGCGTTGGCAGACGGACACACCAGGCAGACACGGAACTGAAGAATAACGTTGCTTTTATTTGAAGAGTAACAGGTTATTGTGGCTGCCCAGCTGGGCTGGCAGCCAGCTGGCTGGAGCGGCTGATGCCGTTTGACAGCTCCTTTTATAGTCTGCTGTCAAACGGCACCAACCAATGGGAACAGTCGGTGCTCCCGCTCAGAATGCGGACCAGATTGAAGACTTAGCTCGTCAGGGACACCACATGCCGGTTCTCCGAACTATTCAAAATTTCCGTTACCGGTTCTCCAGAATTGGTCAGAACGTGCTGAATACCACCTCTGGGTTAGGTTTTTTTCCCCCCTGAATCCAGAATACATTTGGATAGAAATAAAATGTGAATTTTTCATTCCCTATTCTTGACAGTTGTGGGTACAGCTACTGTACCAGATGATGTTGGAAATAGACTTTGTAGAATTAAATACTTTTAAATTACACTGATTATTGCTTTTCTTTGGGACAATGCTATTTGCCTTCCATAATATAATTACAATAATCATATACTTCAATAGCTTGACAGGAAAGCAGAAAAAAGTAGGCGGGAGTGGTCTGAAAATAAAGACAAGAGTAATTAAAGAGGGAAGTGTAAAAAAAAATAAAACCTATATTACTACACTGGGTTTATTCCCAGGAGGAGGGAGAGGAAGTGGGAGAGAGGGAAAAAAACCCTTCTAGTGAAAGGCCATTAAATCATTTTTTAAAAAAAAGACAACAAAAAGTGTTTGATAGAAAAACACACCTTGCAAAAATAATTACTCAGAGTCACCTCCTCATTGTAAAGTCAAGAATTTAGAGTGGTGTCTCCAAACTTGGCAACTTTTAAGATTTGTGGACTTCAACTCCCAGAATTCCTTCAGCCAGTCATGCTGGGAGTTGAAATCCACAATCTTCTGATAGATAACAGATAAACAAAATTGGAAGGTACCTTGTAGGTCATTTAGTCCAACCCCCTGCCCAAGGAGAAGACCCAACACCATTTCTGATAGATGGGAGTCCAGTCTCTTCTTGAAAGCCTCCAGGGATGAAGCTCCCACAACGTCCAAAGGCAACTTCTGTTCCATGGGTTGATTGTTCTCACTGTCAGAAAGTTTCTCCTTATTTCCAGGTTAAATTTCTCCCTGTTCAGTTTCCATCCATTATTTCTTGTCTGGCCGTTGGATGCCTTGGAAAATAGCTTGACCCCCTCCTCCTCTCTGTGGCAGCCCCTCAAATATTGGAAGACTGCTACCCTGTCTCCCCTGATCCTTCTCTTCCCTAGACTAGCCAGGCCCAGTTCCTGCAACCGTTCATCATATGTTTTAGTCTCCAGTCTCCTAATCATCTTAAAGTTGCCGAGTTTGGAGATTCCTGATTCAGACCATCATCTTCATATTCTTCATGGTTTCTAGTGGTGCTACGGCAAATAGCCAAAGATGGATGATCTTGAAAAAGTTATGTAGGAGGCTGAGACCAGGTTAGGAGTTGGATAAGGGTCCCCAGGAAGTCCCAGTTCTTAGATTGAGAAGTTGGAACATTATTCTGGAATCCTGTCAGGAGCACATGTTAAATTTCAGCTGAGCTGATTTATTGCTCATACTATACACAGAGGTCTATTCAATTAATGGTCAGCACTAAATTACCACTAGATGAGTGGTGCTGTGGCCTAGAGTTGGCGCCTCGCAGTCAGGAGGCTGTGAGTTCGATCCTAGGTAGAGGCTAATATTTCTCTCTCTGGGCACAATGAGAATATATCTGCTGAACAAAACTACACATTGGTGACAGGAAGGGCATCCGGCCAGTAAACACTCAGCTCAGTTCAGTTGCCCTGACTCCACCCCACAAGGGATTGCCTGGTCATTAAATGATCAACAACAACAACAACAAAATTAGCACCAGATAAAAGTTATCAGAATTCAAGGGGAGTTGGACACGGGAACATAATGACTCCAGGTTGATTCCTCTCTTGACCACCCCCACCCCTCTGCCTGTTCTTATTCTACAAATCTCAATCATTTTCCCGATTGAGCTTTTCTCAATCTTCAATTCTCACACATTATTCCTGTTCCTGCTTCCCCATACAGAGTTTTAAAAAGAAAAAAAAACTTACCAGTTGCAAAGTTTATTCCTGAAATCTGTCTTCATTTTTTTTTTTTACAATGACAGCACAGACTCTATCAAATACAATTTATGTCAGTATAAGAACTTACAATCTCTTTCAAAAATCTTTTTTTTTTCCCTAGACACTCAAGCACAGGGCAAACTTTCCATTACATCAATGCATATCTACATACTCCTTAGTTGAGCTGTTCCTCCCTTAATAGTCCCCTGCTTAAATTTATTTTTCTGCCACAAACCTCACACATTTTTAAATGACTTTTTTTGTTTTTTTGGTGTTTTTGCTTAAAAAAAGAGACATGTTTCTACACACAATTCCACTAAAAGGATGAGCAAAATTATATGTGACATCTGAAAAAAGAAACTTTGATATCTAGTCAATATTCAGCTTTGAAATTGCAATCATGATGACAACTTTCTCTTTATCACTCTCTTCTCTTTAGAATTCTTTAGATAGAATACTTTATTGCCCAAGTATGATTGGACACACAAGGAATTTGCTTGGTGCAAATGCTTTCAGTGTACATAAAAGAAAAGATACATTCATCAAGAGTTAAGAATCATAAGGTATAACACTTAATAATAGTCATAGAGTACAATAAGCCATCAAATCATACTAGGAAACAGTCAATATAAATTGTAAGGATACAAGCGACAAAGTTATAGTCATACAGTCACAAGTGGGAGGGGATGGGCGATAAGGAGTGATGAGAAGATTAATAGTAATAGTAGTGCAGACTTTGTAAATAGTTGGACAGTGTTGAGGGAATTATTTGTTTAGCAGAGTGATGGCATTTGGGAAAAAGCTGTCCTTGTGTCTAGTTGTTCTGCTGTGCAGTGCTCTATAGCGTCGTTTTGAAGGAAGGAGTTGAAACAGTTTATGTCCGGAATGTGAGGGGTCTGTAAATATTTTCACAGCCCTCTTTTTGACTCATGCAGTATACAGGTCCTCGGTTGAAGGCAGGTTGGTATTTTTTTCCCCTGCAATCCTAATTATCCTCTGAAATCTGTATCTGTCCTGTTGGGTTGCAGAACCAAACCAGACAGTTATAGAGGTGCAGGTGATAGACTTTGTTTCTCAAGTGAAATTCTTGAACACTTTTTTTTTTGTTCAGAGCCAAATACTGGTGTTGCATTTTCGTTGTATTGACAACCTGTTTATTTACCTCTACGAGAAAAGAGTTTAGGGGAAAAAAAAGATGGAGAGGGAGGAGAATTGATGGGAAAATAATGATTAAATAATTAAAACCAAAAGCAGTAGGAAACCACTGACTCTGTAGAGGGGGCCATCCAGATTTCATGAATATATTCTCATACAATTAAAGTGGAGACTGGTCTCACACACTTCAGACATCAGGAGTATGAAAGGAAGTTCAGAGAAACTATTGTTCTTTGCTAATTTGGGTCTTAGTGGATCATGCAGAAGGACCAGATGGAAGCAACAGAAGATCTGAGACCAAACATTCAATGAATTGATGAACATGGAGACCTCTTAGGGAAAAATGCACTTGGGTTTGTAAACTGACCCATGTGAAGAATGGGCACATTTTATTTCAAAATGTAAAGATGTATGGATCTCTCCTTGGTCCTGATTCATTACTAAAAGGCTCTGCAAGATAAACATTCAGCCTCTGTCAAGTTCTTGTTGTGCTCTGTCTGCAGAGAAATTCAACCAGCACACTAGAGCTACGCTTAGCAATTTGCTCAAGGCCATGGAGGAAATCTGGTTGGCTTGAGCAGCTCTGCAGAGTTCATCAAATTCAACAAAATTGCCAGTGAAGAAGACTGTGCAGCATCATTACCACCTTCCTAACACACCAAACACCTGTACCTCAGCTCTTACAGAATTTGAAACTCTATAGCTAGGCCTGATCCAGTGTAACAGATCCGTATAATAGATGAGATTTCCTGCAGAAGCTCAGCTGATCTAAGAGCTAAAAGATTTCATTTGCTAAGTATTATTTTCCCATATTGCTTCCTTTGGTTTTTTTTTTTTTTTTTTTCGTTGAATGCACACTCGTGATCACCTCCAGAGCATTAGCAAGACACAGGTGGTATTCACCAGGTTCTGACCAGTTCTGGAGAACCAGTAGTGGAAATTTTGAGTAGTTCAGAGAACCGGCAAATACCATCTCTGACTGGAGATTTTACAGTATCCTTTCCCTGCCACACCCACCAAACCACACCCACATAACCGGTAGTAAAAAAAATTGAATCCCACCACTGTAGCAAGACTTTTGCATCAGATCAACAACCAGCATTTTTATCCAAGATTTCTTAGCCACAATGTTTCATGTGAGAAAAGAAAGGTGCTTCACTTTGATCTGACCTTGACACATTTGGAAGAAAGGAAGAAAGTTAAACAGAACTGACTCTTGGACACGTCAGAAAGATCTACAGGTAGAAACCTGCAGAAAGACTCTCCTGTTTGATATTCAGTGCCAGTTCACAGCACTACAAAACCAACGTCTGTTTCAATGAATTACCGGCTGCTCTTTATGGGACTATCATAAAATCAAGAATGGTGACAGCCCAACTGCTCCTAATCAGTTTCAACTGAAGAGATTCTCTTGTCCTCATTTTTTTAAAAAAATAACAGAAGCAATTTTTAAAGGGATTAACCCCTTCCCTCCCATTTTTAAGGCAAGGCACTGTAATTGACATATTCTTGGTATGGAATCGTAACTAGAAGAATTTTTGATGAGCAAAACATCTTCCTGCATTCTACAGAATGGGGATTTGGAAATTTCAGCTTCTTCCAAAAGTCAGTGATACCTTATCAGGCTGTAAAAAAAAAAAAAACTAAAAAAAAAACACCTCACTAAATAGGAACAGAGAATGTCTTTGGCGCCTTTTTTTC